AGGACTCGCCATTTAGATTCAGTTTGTGAAGTTTCCGGCTGCTCTTTTATTTTGCTGCCTCGAGTACCTAGACTTCTCTAATTTGAAATGGTCCAAAATGCCGCTCGTTTGATCGCCAATTTGTTAACAGGCTTTGTCTGACTTGAATTTGCCTGCGCTTCAACATTTTCCCGTCCCTTTTTAACTTAATTCAAATTTACGTAAGTGTTTTAACTGATTTTGTAACTTCATCAGCATTGATAATTGCGTGAAGTGTTTCAGCAATCCGTATTATATGTTTACAGTAATTTTTGGAAACTCATCCAAATTGCAATCAATTCGTTAAAAAAACCGCACGAAAAATAAGCCTACTTGTTTGTCCAAAAAATCAGGACGTTCATCAGAGGATAGGGAGCTCAATTTTATTTTGGTTTTTGCGAAACATGTCGCAACATAATAGTTAGACAGAAACAGCATTGTTTTTTTTCGTTTTCGTTCAGAATGCCAATTGCATTTTTCACTGTACTTTTGCATGCTATTGCTAATGTAATAAATTTGTGCAGAATAAATTCTGAACATATTTGCTGTGAACGTATTAATTAATTGCTGTGAGCCCACATGCATGATCATTTACAGTCAATTAGTTTCAATTTCTCATAAATGAGTTTGAAAAATATAAAAAGGAAACTTAGAAAATTTTTTAAAACCATTTGTGAACAGACTGATTTGTTTACACTTATAGCTCCGACTTTCGAAGAAAGTTAGGAACATATCTGGTCGGTGGTTTTTTATTCAGACCAATTTTCAAAAGATGTTTTCTCTCGAGGATCGACACCTGGATCTTCGTTGGCCCTGCTGGGCTTGCTCACCACTATATAAACCTCAGACTAATCTAGCTTAAGCGTTTGTTTTATAGTTTGATGCTGAAACTGTAACGCAAATTATTCAAGCGTGGCGAAACTTATTGCTCTACAAATCGTTCCAAAATGAAATGAGGCAAGCTAATTGGTCTTTTAATTCCATAACAATGATAATTGTTTAACCAAGTATTCGCGACCAGTGTGTGGGCAGTCGTAACATTCAAGTTTTTGCCCTGATACTAGCAGTTTTGTTTTAATTGTGCAATCATATTTGAAATTATACCAAAAGAACTTTTAGAAAACGCCATCTTATTTCCTAGTCTTCGTTTTTATCAGGACTAATGCCAATAAATCTTTTTAAAATTTGCCTCAACCACAAAAAAACTCCACGAAATGAAAACTCAGCCGACAAAAAGTAACCAAATAAACGAAAGCCGCGTAACGTTCACTTTCTTCTCCACATATGAGTTTCAGTTTTGAAAAGCATATTGTAATGAAATTTTGCATGGTGAACAAACTAACTATTGTGAACACATTTTTCTTCATACCGTACTTAGCAACATCATGCCTTCAGTCATAATGACACGCAAGACAAATGAAAAATGGAAATTTTGAAAAGAGGGGGAAAGTAGAAAAAAGCCCCAATCTCGAAACCCCGACTATTGTGTCAGGAAACACGTGCTCGACTTTCACAATGTGCTGGTGTGAATAGTCGCAGGAACTTGATATGCTAATAAAATAAGCTCATTATGAAGCCAAAATGAGTATTTTGTGATCTTTACGTGGATTTCGAAACATGCTTTTCACAGATGCGAAGCTGTGCTTTGCAAACATAAGCGAGAGAACTACGAAAAAGGCAGCTCTATAAAGTGAAATTTAGAAAAAGAGCAATTAAGTCTCAAAATAGTGAACCTTCTGCAACGTGACGGAATTGAACCAGAATCCTCTAAATTTTTGGTCTGACGTCCTACCTATTCGGCCACAGACGCTTAACGCTGGAAAAATTATTAGCCACATATAAAGCAGAAAACATATGCTATGAAATTGCAAATGCTGCAGATCGTGATTATAGCAAAAATTCCACCAAATGATCTCATATATTTTCGATTTACTTTAGAAAAAAATAGGTTCATACTGACACACTACGCTCGCTAAAGCTGACTGTTGTAAAAGGGCTTTGTCGCGGAATCCGCAGTAAGAAAAATTTGTTTCAACCTTTTTCGTGTCGTAGAATCCGAAATTGAAAGGAAGGCTCAAACATAAACATAAAAGGCTCCAAATGATACGCTGACTTCTTCGCTGACTGAATCCCGCGACTTAAAGTTCACGTTACAAATATTGGTTTGTGGACTCCGCGAAACTTGATAAGTGCATTCTATTTACAAATTATGACATTTTAAAGACTTGTCTCCGGGTTACACAATATTACATATACCAAACGGTGCACCTTATGAGAATACAGTTTGTCCCGTGATGCGGGTAAATTCTGTAAACAAAAAGTTTTCAACGGAAAAAAGCCTAATACCCGGGGTTACAGTAACCTGGCTAAGCGCCTGGCTAAGGCTCTACAAACTTTTAAACCAGTTGCAATCTTCTAGAAGGTACTTCACGTAACTTCAAATGCTAGCTCATTTCTTCGCCCATGAAATTACTGTCTGTATTTTAGAATTTTTTTAAAAATGACTCATAATTCGAACAACAATTACTTCCCAACTTGTCTTTGTTTCAATGAAAATTCTACAAAATCAACTTTGGTATTTTGTGGAGGGGTAGTTGATTGTCTGCAATAATGGGTAAACATGCAGATAAGCATTGCGCTGTTCAGTTTTCCATAGACACCACGAAGTGATCTCATCAAATATTTCTGTTTAGAAACGGATTATCGTCTCACCCTAAAAAAGCTACGCTAATTTAATTGCTTGCCATAGTAACATTTCAAAAATTTTAGCAAGATTCGCCCAAAACAATCTTTTTTCCAATGGTATGTGTCTAATGTTTCAGGAACCCGGTTTCTAATTTGAGCCCAAACTCGGGTCGTTATTACGCTTCTCATTTACTTAGCGTCCTAGCCGCCGCCGCAAGGTTGACTAAGTTGAAAGCTACTAACTGAAAACAATAAACTATACCGATAAATTCCAAGAAAATCAACGAACCACAGCTACAATTGAAAAAATCATTAAAGAAAGCCAAACTAAGCAATTGGAAGCTAACAATAAACTACAGCATCAATAATGGTGGCCAGTCAATAAGCAGAATGGTCTAAGAGCAGAATGGGTCCAAGAGCAGAAAAATATCAATTTTTATAAGCTTATGGGTAAGTTAAGTATAAGAATTGTCAATATTACCAAAAAAGCAATAGTTTATGCATAATTTGAATAATTTAATGGAGATTTTTTTTTAAAATCTTGTTCAGAAAAACTTGATAAAATTATTCAATTCATGCATATTTTATTCGTTTTCTTGGTGTTATTGACTATTACAATACTTGTTTTTATCAATTAGCCCGTATTAATTAATAAAAGTTAATATTTTTCCGTTTTTCTGCTCTTGGACCCGTTCTGCTTTTGGACCATTCTGCGTTTTGCTCCGCCTCCATCAATAATGGTCTATCTAAGATAAACATCTGAAAACTTTTTTCAGTCTAAACAAGCCACGAAAAAAAATTTCTGTCGGTACTTTCACTAACCATAACAATTAGTGGAATCTAAATTAGACAGTTTTTCATTGATATAGTTGAAAATTCTACAACAGTCTTCCTCTGCAACACTTCGTTTCACAGTGACAAATGATGGAAACATCCGCGATAGATCCGATCTGAAAACAAATCAATAAGACACTGGTTGCTACCCAAGCAGCCTAGAATGATGCAGTAACGATATTTTATACAATAATGCAGCGATAGGAGATTCTTTTTGAAAAACGATTTGGTTTTTTTTCAAACTTTTGCCGTTTTATGGGCTTTATAGACTGTTCAAATTTAAAATTGAACATAGTTTTTAAAAGCTTTAATACCATTATAGTTTTTTTACTGGTTTTCCGTAGAAAAAAACACCCTCCCAGGACAAAATTCTTTTCCACCACTTAATGGACAGCGTCGGGAAACCGAAAGAAATATAGGATCGACCTAACAATCTCCCCCCCCCCCCCTTATCAGAAAGGGCGGGGAGATTGTTAAGTAGATTAAGTTAGTCGAATTTCCGACCAATCAGAATGCACCAAAATTAGAACAAACTGAAAACAGACTGAAAACACAGAATAACTCAATAAGATGAAAAAATCCTTATTCTTGTGTGAAGCTACATCTTCTTTTAAAAAAAATCATTAATAAAAAAGGGTTTTGTTTGATAACTCCGTTGGACGGCATTTTTAATTTACTCACGACGTAGTTGTAATCCCAACAGATTTCAGTGCCTGGTGTCAGAGATCTGAAACAAAAAATTATCCTACAGAGAGTAAAAAGTGTCAATTAACCCAAGAAAAGCCAAAAAATGCTCTAACAGTGACTTTAACACTAAGACTTGAATTTTAAACATAGCCAACTGACTGTTGGAAAAGAGCAATGAACGCAAAAAATTAAAAAAAAAAACTGATGCGCTCATGCATAAACTGTAAAAATATATGCCCTTAAAGCTATCGAACGGTTTATCATTGATGCTTATTTGATGAAGTTAACCCAATTCGAGAAAACTGGATCAATAGGTAAAAAAAATTTCGCTGGGAAATCTGTTAATTGAAGTCCAATTTCGAAATTAGAAGTCGATCACCTTTTTTATGACCTTTAAATTATTGTTGTTCGATAGATGAGTTTTTTTCCTTTAAGTCAAACAGCGGAAAATTGAAAATAAGCGTAAAAAATGTACTCCTAAAAATTTGTTTGATTTTTTTCAGAAAATTATCCCAATGAGACGAAATTAATCAATGAATAGGATCAATTGAGCAATCTCCCCCCCATTCTCGCGTGGGGGGGAGATAGCTCAATAGGTACTTGAGACATGTTTATAACCACTTGAAAATAGATTGAATGACATGAAATCATAAACCATATTTTCCAACGACTGTGGAAAGCCAAAATTTACAATATCAAAGCTCAAAAGTTTCATTCAAATAGAAAAAAGAATCAATAAATCAGGCTTAAAAAGCGACTTTTTTCTTTCTTAAAATGACAAAAAGCTATTGCGTACAATATTAAGGTGCTGCGGAGAACCTTTTTTGCTATTCAGATACAAGGCTAGAGCACCAACCCTGGTAAAACACTTTCCTCGATGAGGCTATGGTCGCCTATACAAAAATTTGCAAAAGAAAAAAATTCATAAATTTCAAGTTTTTTTTTCAAAATTTTTCTCGATACTCATATAAAAAAAAACTTCAGTCGGTCAAATGATTGCGTGCTATAAACAAAACATCCATCTACTTCCGTTTGCTGACGTCTTTTTGAAGAGTTTATTCATTTTTGCTGGGGGGGAGATAGCTCAATTGGTCATTACGGGGGGGAGATTGCTCAATTGATCCAATGAATAATTTTTTCAGTCGGTTGAGAAATCTATGGCAATCTATTCCGCTATCAAATCTGAAAACCAAAGTTCACTTTTGAACTTAGGTGAACACTTTTTGCATGACATTTACACATTTACTGTTTGATAAAGGATTTTGCCTAGGAAATGAACTGGAAGGAAGTTTGATTAAGGAAATGAACAAATGAAATTGAAAATCAAACTGCGAAAAATCGAGCGTGAACACATTTTAGGACTTTTTCTGAGAAAAGAAAACATTAGAAATGATCACGACCAATATAAGAACTGAACTACATTCTTCGACTCTTATTCATGTGTTCAGGTTTTCTTCTTGATTTTATTCCTTTGAAGTATTGTCTTTTATTCATATTCACTGCAAGTAAACTTCAAGTCTAATCGAGTGGCGTCCCTCATGATTATGGACCAAACGTTGGAAATAAAACTTCAGTTACTTTCAGCCAATCAGAACGGAGTGTTCAAAAATCTCCGAAAAAGCAAAAACCTCAGAGAAAACGAATTATTCTAGGCCAATAAAATTAATAATGACCGATTAATATTGACCGATACATAAATTTTCAAAACAAAATCAAAGTCGGTGATTTAAAAAGTCGAAACCCGATTTTAGAAAAAAAATTTTGTACAGCAAAACTTTGCTGAGCTGCTATTTTTAACTTTCCATTAAGAAAGTTTTCGGTTTTGTGCAAAAGTCATTTAGCCAATAGGAACATATAACGATTCTAATGAGTTAGAAGTTTTCCATCATTCGGTCCTCCATCACGGTTAGAATACCCCCTTCTAACCGAGCTTTTTAGAGCGATTCTTAAGCATTATATTTTTCAAAGGTTGCGCGTCACGGAGCCGAATACACGGATAACCAAAAAAATTATTCCCGGATAGCCGAAAAAAATGCGGATCAATGTAGTCTATTTCGACAAAAAGCTATGAAAACAAACCTAGGATCCAAAGAAGTTAGTTTCAGTTAATTGATTTTTTCTTGGCTTACAGTTTTGGAAAATATAAAGGAGATTGATTGTTCGAATAGAGGCAGTCCCAATTTTGTGACGAATTTGCCTATTTAGTTAGATTTTGTTTTGGAGCTAATTCCTTTTACGAGGTACGCACCATATATAGCTACTTAAACCTAAATTATGACACTCAGACCACCTCCTTGAAAAGCGACTTATTTGGCGTAACCAAATCCAGCAAGACAATTGCGGTTTTAATTGGAAAAGATAGCACAGCATTCAACAAAAAACCTTTGTTTGTATAATTTAAGGAAGGAGACTATTTGACTCACTCTGAAGCGAACAGCGCGACTGTCGGGAAGCGAAGGTCATGGGTGTCGATGAAAACATTCTGAACAAAAGCATTCGGGTCACACGAGTGCTAAAACAAATAACTAAACATAGCCAACAGTTGACGAACTTCAATCAATGCAAGGAAACAGAAAAAGCTGACTTAATCATTTGACCACTTACTAACTTCACATTTAAAAGTATATAACCTTAAATCTCTTTGAACTTAAACACTGAGGTGAAGCGGAGCTTCGCACCACTTGCAATAAAACACAATCAGAAAAAAATGAAGAAAAAAATGAAAAATGTTGAAAAAAATCTTGGTGAAGCAAAAACTTTTGTAGAACTCGATGAAGGACACCTAGGGCTCAACTAAAGCTGGTTGTACGTTTTTGATATTTTTTGAATTTGTCATACTGATGCGTTACGAAATTCAAAACTTGGGCTTTTCCCAAAACCTTAGTTGTTTCTCTACTAAATTATATGAGAGTGAAAACATGATATTTTGGAATTTTCGCAAAAACATAACATTTCTCTTACACAAAAATTAATAGTTGACGCTTCTGCAGGAAAAAATCGCGCAACCGCTTCTTTCGATTGAACTTTTGTGCGCATCATTTGCTTTTCTTTTTGCAAATGATTTTAGTTTGAACTTTAGAGAAAAACTTGTGACTCATACCTCGAACCTGATATACTTTTATCTCATTCTCTTGAAAAATACCAACCCTTCTAAAACTCACCAATTCATTCATCGACACTAATTACCCGGCAACAAAAATTGCACTTGAAAAAAAAACGGATAAAACGCATTCTACTCACTGATTTGTCGACGAAACAAGAACAGTATACAGATGCATTGATCGAATAGAAAAATGTGCATCTGGTAGTATAAGACACTTTTTTGATTTTTCAACATATTTAAAGAGAAAATGGATCTACTTAACAATCTCCCCCCTATTGTATCTACTAAAGAATCTCCCCCCTTTCTTGAAAGGGTGGAGATTGTTAAGTAGATCCGAGAAAATATATCACGTTTAAGCTCTTTGACTTTGATATTCAAGATTCTTTAATAATTTTACGCCCTTTTCATGAAATCAACAAAATAAGAGAAAGATCATTAAAAAAGATTTGACTAACATATTAATTTAAACGAAAATATTTAATTTATTCCGCTGAGAGAATGAAAATAAGAATTAAAAATCAAACTTTGAAACTAAATCTCAATGACGTTTGTTTTTTCAAGCCATTTGCACTTTGTTTTTGGAGAGCATATTTTTTTTTCCTTTTAGCAAAAGAAATTGAATCAAAATTTAAACAACGAAAAATTGAAATTGACGATGAACAAAATTTAAGACTTAGTTTTTCCCGACCACAAAAAAAAACAAATTACAAGTGAGTCAAATCTTCGAGCCGAGGAATGTCAACTATAAAACCCGATCACTATTCTTTTTGGTGATTCATTAGTCAGTTCAGTTGACAGCCCAATCTCAAATGACACTTAAAACAGATGAAAAATGACACTAATCGCAAGCGTAATAATCACAGAAGAAATATCATTGTAAGCTGTTTAAATTTCCACAGTGAATATCTTTGTAAACTTGAGCTCAGGGCATCGATATTTTTGATGGTAAAAATTCCAGGAAAAAAATTACACAAATAATATAAAAGTCGCAATTGGTTTGAATTAAAACAGGTCGATAGAAAGAATCACTCGAACTATACAACAAAGCTGCACATAGAAACAACGAGCCGACCAGTTCCTTTTGACTTGTGCAGCAAAAGGGGCCCTAGAGCTTATTTGGAAAAAAATGACTATCACTCACATTGAGAAAGCGGCCGACGTTTCCGCAGTGCATTGCCTCGATGACTATGGGGGAGCTGCTTCCAAACATGAGATTGCGAGCCCTGTATGTATCTGGGATCAAAAATATAAACAATTAAACTCTACGAAATCTAAAGCTGACATCTAAGAATAGCAATAAAAACATGGTTTTTTAAACCCGTCGTCTGTGAGATGGAACAAACATGCACGAGTACTTTCAGGATCTTCGGAGCAAGTTACGATCCTCCACCCCAGCGTTCATTTTAATTTAAATCTACTTAGCGCTGCATGTAAAATGCTCTATTCGGATTGGCTGAAAATTCGAACTCAGAACCAAGTTAACATCCTCCCCCCTAAAATGGGGGGGGGGGGGGTGTTAATTTGATCCGGATCTTTTTATATGCGGCCGAAAAATGAATTTTTTCAGTATCTTCAAAATAGGGTCAATCTGATGCTTCAATCTGATTGGTTGATACTAATTACAATATGACAGAATCTAAATATTATTTCAAACAATCGCTAAAGTGATGATTTTGGAATGAATAGCTCTGATTCAAATTATCAGGACAAAATGAACAAAACTAGAATTTTCAAACACGTTTTTCTCAAAATGGGTTAAGAATAGAGAAAAAAAGAACAGAACAAAAATTGCTTATAACTTTATCAGAATTATTATGGTGAAATTTTTTCTCCAAAACTCTCAACCAAAACTTTGAGTGGGTCATTTTGGCTTTTTCCAATTAATATTACGCTGAAATTACTTTGTTATTTGATGAAAAACAAATATCAGAAGGAGCCTCTTACACAGCCCAACAAAGATCTAGAAAAGTTAAATCTCCAAAAACCTATATAAGAGAAAATATTTTTGCTTGATAGACAAGAAATGTGACCCATTTTTGGCGTAAAATTTTGGTTGATAATTTCGGAGTGCGATATGCGTTGCGATATCAATTGAAAACAAGTTGTAATTCAATACTGTATTCTGAATATTGAATTTAGTTTTTTCTTTTCTTTTGTTTTGGTATTAGTTGCTGAGATCTAGAACAGTGTCGAAACTCTGAATCTCTCACTTAGTCTCAATGTCATCACAGACTGTGACCTTGAGTATACCATAAAAGTAATAAGTAAGCACCGTAGGTTGGTCGTACATACATAAACAATTACTGCTACTGCAGTAGCGGTATGACACACCCCCTCGGTAAAGGAAATAAATTATATAACATAAGTAGGATAATTTATTTAAAAAGAGTTCAATGTACTCAGTTCCCAAGAAAGTTGCTGGGTTAATTGACGGTTTAGTTTATAGAGTTTTCAGTTTTCTTCCAGCTCTATTTCCCAACTCGGGTTCCATTCCACTCCGTCATCTAGTGTAGCATACCCAAATTTCCGCATGAATAAGTGTCGTTCGAGCCGTCTTATTTTCGATTCCACCGGTCTATCGCTTCGTTCCTTGAAGTCTCTTAGTTGATTTCGATATTCCTGAAGTGCTGCTTTCAGGAGTACTCCCCCTGTCAGATTCTCTGATATCTCTTTAATTGAGTGTTTTATCGGGTCACCAAAGCGTTTCCGTTCCTTGTTTTTCGTTTGCCTGGAACTTCGTCTGATACCCGACTCTACGGTACTCGACTCGTCCGAGAATCCTTGTGGTGGCTCGAATGTCGTATTTGTCTCCAAAATTTGTTGTGGGTTTTGTCTAATTTCGTCTGCAACTCGCTGAACTCCTCGTTTTAATAATTGATCTGCATATTTTTCCCACTCGGACGGTGCTAAATTTCGATTGTGGAATGTGTCGATTATGTCCTCTGGAGGTGTCTGGGAGTCAATACATTTCAATTTCGACCTCTGTTTTGATTTAGGTGTAGAGCTTGTCTGAGTTTTGTGATCTAATGTTCCTGACTTTGAAGTAGATTGCTCCTGCTCCGGATCGGCTGCCGTCGCAGTTTGGCGTTTCCACTGTTGTTGCTTGTTTTGGTTTTTCTTTTCTTTCACTTTCTTCTCCGTCTTCTTTTTATCGCTTTCCTCTGTAGTTGAACTTGGACCCGCCAAATTTGGTTTTGCCCTCTTAATTGCCAAGTTCAGGCCTCCCCCTGCTTCCGTGTCGTTTGAAGTCACTACTGTTTGGCTCTTTTGGAAACGATCTATGGGATTCGTCGCATCTGCGATCTCCATGCCTCGTTGCAGTTCTTCATCGGACCCTAACTCCTCCAGTAACTCAGGGGAACTGATCCTTAGAAACTTTTTCGTAGGTTCCGCCGATGGACTTTTACTCGGGCTCCGCTGATTTTCCTGTGTCAGCACTGTTTTCGATTTTGCAATATCTGACTTCCGATAGATAGAGCCTGTAGACGTCTTGATCGTTGAGTCTGTTTCTGAAGCGATTTTCTCCTTTAATTGATTTGTGAGTGCTTGTCCACTTTTTTTTAGCGGGTCCTTTCTAAGTATTGTCTTAGGCGGGGATTTACATTGATCTTCAACTTTGTCTTCAATAAATCATTTGTCCCATGAGTATATCATCTCCTTTCGTAGATGAGGATTTAGTAGTCCAGTCTCGTCCACTAGTCGTCTAATATCGTTTTAGCCGCATCCCTTCTCTCGTTGTTCCAGCGGGCGTTTGCCTCCAACAGCTCCTTTAGGGCTTTAGCCCTCTCTTTATCCCTGTCCGATGTTAGTTGCTGCTTGTGCAGTGGGCTTGTATCCCTGCTGAGTTGTCCTTTGCGTACTATTTTGAGGTTCTCTCTTGATTGGTCAATTCTGCGTTTCAATTGGGAAGCCGTCAATGCTGAGCGTTCCAAGTGTTGTTTGTCTAAATAGTCAGAATTGTTTAAAAACCTATCCCTCACAATTTTAAATTCCGTTTTTGGTAGTCTGCCAAAATGCGCTTGAAATGGGGATGCTTGAATGGTTTTCTGCTTGTTCCACCGCAAATCTCTCATTATAATACTAAGACATAATTTGATCGATTTATTATTTTCTTCGCGCAACATCACCCCCAGTCTTCTTTTTATAGTTTGGATTGTACGTTCTACCAAACCACAGCCTCGGTGGTCCCCCACCGGACAGAATTTTTGCTCGATATTGAGTTCCGAACAAAATTTGTTAAGAGTTTTCCCTTTAAAGCCTGAAAAGTGATCCGAGCGAATTGGTTCAGGAATCCCATGTGTGTCGATATACGATCTCAAGAATTTTACTGAACACTTCCCACTTGTAGATTTCGTAACCTTCACCGATGGAAATTTTGAAAATCGATCTAAAGCTACTAAGAGGTAGATTTTTTTTCCTTTTTGATTTTCTATGGGCCCCGCGTAATCTAATTGTACTTCCTGTCCCGGCTGCGTGAGCAGTGGCAGTGGTTTTGACGCGTTTTTCGAAATAAGATATTTTACATTCTTACCGTATCTGGTACAGCAAATTCACAATGTCCTTATTCATATGCGGCCACCACAGGTATTGTGATGCTCCTAGCATAGCTTCTTGGCCTGGATGCCCTCGATGTATTCGTTTGAGAACAGCTTGTCTCAGTTGGACTGGGACCGCTAGCCGATTATTCACCAAAATGCAGTCGTCCTGCACTGCCATCTGTGACCACAGCGGGTTCGTATAAGGTCCCATTAGTTCGAAGCCTTGTTTGTCCCCTCTTTCTATCACTCGTCTAAGGCGGTCCATCCATGTGTCTTCGGTGGTTAATTCGGCCAACAGACTTTTGTCAAACAATTTTGCCAAATTATCCAGGGTCTCCTCTTGCTGCTGCTTCGGCAGTTTTAGTTTTCCCATTGTCTTCGGCGGTTCGATTGCACACACTTCTTCTTCACTCTCAGCCTCTTCTGTGGTCGTCAGGTCCATTTCTATGACCTGCACCTCGCTTAATTTTCTTTCCGCCGATGCGGTTGGTTTGTGTATCGCTGAACTTTGTCCATATTCTGAGCTGTCCCTGACCTCCTCTGTGTGTGCCAACATTTCTCTATTGGGTCCCCGTATGTTTTCTTCTCCGCCAATTAGTTGCCAGAGTGAAAAAAGTCTTTGATCTGCTTCTCGTTGTTGATCCGGTTCGAGCGGCCATTTCGCTCGTGATGCCTGTCTAGTTTCACTGTCGGAGCTATCCCTATTTTTACGGCCACCTCTTATGATTTTTTCTTGTTCGCTGAACTGTCTCTGTGATTTCCTCCTCTTCTGAAAGTTCGTTTGCATTTGTCATTGAGCGGTTCCACTTTGGGTCCAGTAGGTTCTCTTCTCGTTCGTCGTTACGCCATTCCTGTGGTGATTCCGACCACCAATCGTAGGATCTGTTTCCTGACATCTCGTTCCTTGAGTCTGTTTTTTTTCTTCTGAATTTCCGATGCTGATTTTTCTACGATTTTCGATTTATTTGAGACTGGCTGTTTGTTGAGTTGAGTTGACAAAAAAGTGATTGGTTTATGTTGAACTGCTGTGTTTAGCTGTTTTGTAGTCGTGGAAACTGTTTTCTCTCGTTCCGGTCGATCTTTGTTCGTTTTTGACCGATTTGGTTGCTATAGCAACCATTACTTGATGAATGTTTCTTTGCATTCCTTCTAGAACATTCTAGAACGTTTTCGTTCCGGTCAAGCGACCCAGTTTCTTTGAGCCTACTGTTCATGCAGTCTAATGCATCATGAAAGGAGTTTATTGTCGCCACTACAAACTTTTCGTCTAATTCTGATTCGGGCCAGGGATCATTGTAGGGATCACGCGATAAATAATCAACTATACCCATTTCCCTCCCCGGAATGTGAACTATTTTAAACTGATATGGCAATAACCGGTCAATCAACCGGGTCAAACGGGATTGATAGGTCTTATTTGACTTGTTACCATCTAATGCTGATGTAAGCGCCTTATGATCTGTTGCGATGATAAATGGTTTTCCCAAAAGGTAGTGTTTATATCTGTCTACTGCCCAAACAACTGCCAATAACTCCAGTTCATTTGTTGAATATTTTTTTTCTTGGGCATTCAGATATCGAGATGCGAATGAAAATGGAACCCACAGGCCTTATCATTTTGCTGTTCCAATGTAACCCCTAGCCCATCATGGCTCGCATCACATTTAACTCGTGTTTCTCGGGTAGCATCGTAATAATATACTTTTGTTATATTTGCCACACCTTCTTTTATAGTATTAAATACTACCGTGTGTTCATCCCCCCACTCAAACTTTTTGACCTGGAGTTTCATGTTTTTTAGTTTTTTCTTTTGATTTTCTTCTTTAAGAAAAGGTCTCAATTTCTCAGTCAGGCTTGCTGCGTTAGGTATAAATTTAGCTAAGTGATTTATACTTCCGAGAAATGACCTTAACTGCTTAAGCGATTTCGGCGGGTTCAGATTTACAATTGCTTCGGTTTTAGTGATCTTAGGTCTAACCCCTACTTCTGAGAGGTGATGACCTAACCAATTCACTTCTTGTTTGAAAAATTCACACTTTGATAATTTCAATGCCAAATTTTCCGCATCCAATTTCTTTAGTACTGCTTCCACCAGATTTCCATGTTCAATTTCATTTCCTTTTGACACAATAAGTATGTCATCCAGAAAACAGAACGTGTTTTTAGCGTGATTGATAGTCCTATCCATAGCCTTTTGAAATTCAGCTGGCATATCCGCTAAACCATAGAACCCTTTCAGAAATCTGTATGTTCCGGTTGCTTTCCCACCAACAATGTTAAAGTTGCATTGTTTAGCTGTATCGGCAGCCAATTTTAATTGACTGTACGCATAGTTCAAATCTAACACCGTGAAATATAGAGTACCATTTTTGTTTTCGGTAACAATTTGGCTCACCCCATCGATGAGTTCATCTACATTCGGCATTTGATATTTGTTTTTGAACAATTGTCTATTAATTGGTTTCGCGTCCATGGCCAACTTTATTGAGTCGTCTTTTGTTACTATTATCACAATCGGAGCGATAAAGCAATCACTTGTACATTTGTCGAGTGTTGTTATATGACCTTCTGTCAACAACTTCTCGATTTCTTTTTCAACTTTATCCTGTATGTGAATTGGGATTCTTCTCCCCTTTTCTTGAATTGGACATAGTGGATATTGAAATTTTCAACTTGCAATGTGATTTTTTGAAATTCCTTGTCTATCAAATAAATTTTTAAATTTAGTGAAAAATTTTTCTTTCCAACCTTCTGACTGCTCGCACATGAGCACGTCAAACCTGGTGAGTTCCTTTGGCGCTGGTTTTTGTGTAGTAACTATTCCCACTTGTCCTTGCAGGTCTAGTCCCATGATGCATCTGGTTTTACGTTCTGATACCAGAAAGTTAGCGCCTTTTACCTCCCAGCCTGCCGACCGAAGATTAGTCTTAAGGGCTCCCAGTATACTGATCGGCTGTTTGTTGTAATCAACGAATTTTGTTTGAAAGTTCAGTTTTCCTGACGGAATGAATCTTACTTTGCTTGATTTATCCATAATTTCCTTCGCCGTCGCCCAATTGAGAAATGAAACTGGACTTTCCGTGTCCACTGTTAGTTGTATTATTTGGCTGTCAATTCGTACCATGGCCTTTAGTGATTTTACTCGTTTCAATGTTGGATCTCGAATCGAATCTATTTTCTGAACTCGTATCATTTCAGCATTTGAATTGTTCCTCATGTCATTAATTCGATCTTTCACATATTTTGAAATTCTCTCGTTTTCCGGTTGATAGGTTTGTATTGACATAACTTCAAAATCACTACATGACTCAACACTTTCACTTATCTGATCACATTCCTCTACAGATCCTTCCGAGTCTTCCGCAACTTCGCTTACTTGTTGAGATCTGCACATTTTGCAAAGTGATTGGGTTTGCCACAGTTCTTACAAGTTTTTCCCATCGCTGCACAATTTTTTAGATGTCCTTGGTCGAATGTCCTTCCACATCTGTTACATGGTTTTGTTTTCATGTTGTGATTCTTGTTATTATTTTGTTTTTTGTTCGATTCCTTTCTGTTTTGATTCTTTGTTGTCCCTGACAAATTTCGAACTGCCATTACAGGTTCTTGTTTTATTCTCACACCCGAGGTGTAATTGTTACTTGATCCTCCTGTAGCCGCCGCATTTGTCTTTTGGAACGCCATTGTGGTTAACTTGCTATGTTAGCTTGCTTTACGAACTTTATCGCCCTTTTCAGAACCTCTTCCAGGTCTAAGGTCTCGAATGTCAGCGTGTCTTGCAACGTCATGTTCTTCATTTTTGAAATAAATAGATCACGGACTATTTCATTTTCCAATGTTCCCAGTTAGCGCTGCGTGAAATGATTCCAGAGATTCTCCAGATTCTTGCATTGTCGTAAATAGCTTGTATCTTCCATACGTTACACATTTCACCTTTTGAAACGAAACTTCTGCCAGTTCTGTAATTTCCCTGAACGTCATTTTCGATATTTCAGCATGTGGGTTCTTCTGTAGGAATCTTTTTTTCCTTCTGTACCCAAAGACAAAAATAATCTGGACACCAACTTCTTTTGTACTTCGTTGTAGAAAACATTGTGTCCGATTCGTGGGCCCCTTGTCCTTCTTTGTTCATTCTCCAACAATACTGCTAGTTTGTCTCTAAGGGTCCTCGCATTCCTTGCATCTTCATTCTCTCCTTCTCGGGGTGTTTCTGGTCGAGGTGGTGGTTCCTCTAGTATGTCTTTTGGGTCTTCCAAAAAAATCTCTGGGTTCACATTTTCTTTAACCGTAACCGCCATAAGAAATTGTTCGAACCAGATTTTGAACTGCCATGGAGGATCTAGATTCGCTGACGCCCAAAATACCGGGATTCCCATATCCGTTCTGTTATCTTGAGCTGCGAATCCTGCTGGCTGCGCCATGTGATATGCGTTGCGATATCAATTGAGAACAAGTTGTAATTCAATACTGTATTCTGAATATTGAATTTAGTTTTTTCTTTTCTTTTGTTTTGGTATTAGTTGCTGAGATCTAGAACAGTGTCGAAACTCTGAATCTCTCACTTAGTCTCAATGTCATCACACACTGTGACCTTGAGTATACCATAAAAGTAATAAGTAAGCACCGTAGGTTGGTCGCACATACATAAACAATTACTGCTACTGCAGTAGCGGTATGACACGGAGCAAAAATTGTCCCATATTAATTCTGAGAAAATTCTAAGCAACTTTTGTTCTGTTCACTTTTTGTCTAATCCTTGCTCAATTTGAGAAAAACGTGTTTGAAAATTCAGGTTTTGTTCGTTTCGTCCGGTTAATTTAAATCAGCACTGTATAAAAGAAAGGAACCTTCATTTAAAGTGCAAACAAAGAAATAGTCTTGAACTAATTTGATCTACCTTTTTCGGAAGAAACAGTAGAGTGCTTCACTAATTTCACAGCTCCTTTATTTTCAACCTGAGCAGCAGTAGTTGCATCATTTTCTGCCTTAGTCGAGTCATTTGAAGGAGATTCGATGGGCCTTCCAATAAGGTTGTCAGCGGCGGCCAAGAGATCGTCGATGTGCTGAAGATTAGCCTCGAAGTTGCAGCTTGAAACAGGCAGGCCAATAACCTGCTCCTCTTCGCGTTTGAAGACTGAAGAGTCGCCGCACTAAAAAATATTTACGGTTAACTATTTTATACACTTTTTGCGTAGCACTCAGTAGTGATGGTGCCCAGCAATCATATGGTTGCTGATTCAAATCTCAGGTGCGCTGCAATTTGCGAGGTGAGCGCTAGCAAGTAAGTCTTAGCTTAAGGGGCGCTGGATAAATGCACTCTCGTCAGCCTAAATAACCAACCACCGGATTAGGCCTCCGGGCTGGTTGACTAAAAAAAAGAAAATACACCAGCACCAGAATAAAATAAAAAACGCTCATATTATCCCAAGACTGATGGCAAAAAATCATGATTTCTCTGATTCTGACCTTGCTTTTATTCATAAACAAACAACATTGCACCTTACGATATGTAAACATGTGAAATTAAATAGTTAACGCTTTTTTTAAATCCACGATAGCCACAATTATTCTTACTAAGAAACGTGTGAAAAAATGCGATCAATCGAACCAATAAAAAATTTGAATGAAATTTCAATGAAATGCTCACAGCTGTTTGGCCGGTTGCAACTGTGGACTGCTGTTGTTTTACTTCCTCGTCGTCATCGCTCTGGTCGGAGTTGGCCCGTTCGAAGTAGTCATCAACCTCCTCTCCTCCGGATGAGTCCAGAAGAGGCTCATAGTGCACTTCACAAACAAAACAAAGCAACATCGTTACTAGCAAGCTGTGTGTCCGGAGGTCCGGATTTGGGTCTTATTTACGCCAACCGTTTTCGGCCGACAAATTCTATTATTTTTCCAAAAGTGCCAGTTGTGCCATTGAAGGCGAGCAGGCACTAAAAAAGCTCTCAGTAAAAATTATTAAAGGAATTTTCTTCCAAAAACTGCCTGCAGCGTAGAAAACTACGTCAAATATGGTCGTTCTGGGTTTTGAGAGAGCTCGAAAAGTTTTAAATAACGTACCTTAAAAAAAGCGCTCTTAACTTGGATAACAATTTTTCATTTTTACACTTCAAACTCAGCATTGATTACTTTCTATTCATCAATTCACCTTTAAAACTATTCTAAACAAACACTCCCTGGTTTACATAAAAAAGAACAACTATGAGCCCCAAAAAGAAATCATAGTCGCTTGAGATTTCTGACCGAAAACATTCAAGGCCTTCAAGATTGGTGCTTTATCAACTCGTAAATCCTGCAGAGAAACAACTGCAGCTTGCGAACAACTTCCCCCCTATGTTACCTTGTAAATAAATTCAAAAACCTATAAAAAAACTAACTCAGTGTTACGCATATCCAAAATTTGTAATTTGTATCATATCTGCCTTGGAAAAGTGCACAAAAAGTTAACAAGTTCCAAATAAATTATCACATTTTCCATCCTCAACCATCGCCTCTTCGGCGCAGCTATTGTTCTGATGCTTTTCGGCTGAAGCTAATTTAGAGCATTCTTCAGCCGTCTGTTCTCTGTTTTCCTGTTTCACAGCTGTAGTCTTTAGCTGTTTCTCTTTCTCTTTTGCCTTTGAGAGTTTCGGTGCCCAGGAACTTCCCGAAGAACCGAAAGACGAAGTTCGGAATCTAATCAAATGAAAACATATGAAAACATGTTACAGTCTGAAACACTGTTTTAATGTTATCATAAAGTCCCTGATCGCTTAGAGGAGTTTCGTTTACATAAGGACTTAAAGATCTCAAACTCTCGCACCAAATATGTCTGGGAAGAGACTTTTTTAGATGAGCCATTTAGGAGTTTTTGAGCTCTGCCGAAACCATAGATTAACCATATTTGAATTTCTGCGCCGCAAGCGATTATATTTTGAATTAGCTTACATTGGCGCCGGTGGTGCTTTAAGAAAAGTTTCAACGTTGGTCAGCCAGAGGACCTTTTGGAAAAATTTGGCGACCAGGATTGAGGTTGAAAGGGAGACAGTACCCCCAATCTGGTTGCTAAAATTTCCAGAGCCCTCCGGCTGACTCTAAAACTTTTTTAAAGCCTTCTTAGCCCAGAATAGGGGTACTTTGCCCCTTCAATCTTGGTCGCTAGATTTTTCAGCTGGATTAGCTCGCAGCTTAAGATAAAAAATCCTGAAATTTATTTTTGCACTTCGAGCTCAAAGCATAAACATCTGTCAGGAGGTGTTGTGCGGAAATTGTGCCAAAATTGCTGAACTTAATTCTGAATCTCACTTTGTGTGCCCCATTACTTCGTAGTGTTCATCGTGCTCATCGGGCGCTTCTTGAGTTTGGCGCCAACTATCCTTCTGGTTTTCCAGCTTGCGCTTCTCAGCTTCTTCTATCATGTCCAAGTTGACCATATACAGTCCTAATGATTCGACGCCCTGCAAAGCAACGAAATGCATTTTGGATTAGCAAGCAATTTTACAGACTAAATAGAGCAAAAGAATACTACAATTAAAAATACCACAAACATCAGGACAGAAAGGATTACGATAAAGTTCAAAAGACGTTCCAGAGTCAAATTAAAGAAACAAAAGTGAAAACATCGTGAGCGAAGGAAACAAAAATGAGAGAAAGTGCATATTTTCACAGAAAAAATCAAAGACATCATTTTAAAATTAAGTATCAATTCATTGTCAAATTTTTAATCCCAACAAATTCATCATTTAAATGTATAACTTCATAACAATGTAAATATGTGTATCGATTAATTATCTATCTACAAAAGAGCAAGAGTTGTAGTATTGCAAATGCAACACTAACTAATGGTTTAATCTAATTTTCTAACATTTTAAATATCCCTCCGATTTAAATAATTCTTTCAAGATTGGACTAACTTTTTTTCTGTTACATTTGGATAATGAAAACAAGTATGTCGCCAGTTAGACGGACTGGTTTACTGTTTTGCCTTAAAAAGCAGACAGCGCGGCGAGAAAGCCCCCAGTCCTTTTGCGATCCTAACAGAAGACTTTGAACTTTTAATTAAGTAAGGCATGTGCAAAAATAATTAATTGCCAATATCTTTTAAATTATTGATATTTAAAAAATCAATAAGTTGCAAGTGTCAATTTCATCATGAGTATGGAGAAGAGGGGTAAAATGAAGTTTGAAGTCCAGACTGCAGGTGCAGATTTGTCTCAGCCAAAGAGTTGAGAAATAAATCAACTTGAATCTTCAGAACTATTATTTTCCGCACTCGCTCAGTCGAGTTTAATTATTTTCCTTTTTTTATTTATCACAAGAACTGACAGTAGTAAGATTATAATGTTTTCCTTTACCTTAAATTTGTGTACCTTAACCTGAATACCCCAAACCTATTTTGGTATTTAAGACAGTTTTCCATCCATCTATAACTTATTTATATTTATTTAATCAAACTTTTATTTATCTGTTTATATAAATATCATTTTAACTCTAGAACCAGATCGACTATGATCTATGATGTAATTTAAACGAGACTTATGATGTTAGTTACTAATTGAAACAAAGGGATCTATCAATCTACCCCACTGTTTCTCTTAGTAAACCCTTTATGGCCGACCAACCCTTAATTTTTTCTAAAAGCCTCAATATGTACTAACTCTGAGCGGGTAGCACGCGCCAAAAAAACCATTTTTTTGGTCAAAATTGTTGAAAAAAAGCCTAAGAACGGGTTTTATGGCCTGCTTTTGCAAAAATTTGCTTGCGGCGCAGAAGATTTTGTCAAAAAGGGGTCTTCATAGTGTTCACCGAACATCAATTGAGTCGACCTAAAAAAAGGTGAACAAAATTTTCAAAAATTTTTTGCAAATCCGACCCCCCTCCGTCGAGAAAATCCTAGAGCCGCTCCTGCATAAATATAAGTAAAACACTAGAGCCAATCTTTTTATTACATGAAGCCGCAACTTCGCAAACACAGCGAGAAAGCGGCAAACGGGAGCTTGACATTGCACAAAAACATAAACTAGCCGCTGAATGCACGTTATGAGCGTAAACAAACAAGTCGAAGTATAACCAGCTAAAAAACTGCTGATCCGGCTAAAAAAAATCTTTCTATGCAATGAGCAAACGTTTTTAACGCAAACTATAAAAAGCCGAAAACTTGAATTAAAAGAACTCAGTTAGAAGTTAGAGCATAATAGGCGTATTCTAGCCAGCAACTTATTTTGTCAAACGTTTTTTGAATGTAAGAGTTTTTTATTATCGTAAAGCAACGTAAAATTTTAGTGCCCGCAAAACAACCTAAAATGATGTTTTGTTCTGAGCAATCTAGTCTGTTTTTTTTCAGCTGGTGTTAACTTGATCCTTTATTGCTAATATACTTGTACATAGACGAAATCATTGAATTTAGAATTCATTATGAGCCAACGAATTAAACTATACTATAAACTAAATTATAAAATCTAGGATAAAACACAGATGTCACTGAGCAGCGGCTAATCTTTAAAATTGTCATTCACAATCTTTCTCTGAAGCCATTAAGCTCAAAAATGAGGCTTGAGGTGAAATTGAAAAGCTAACATTTGAAAATGCACATCTGTGGGATTGGAATAGCTACGTGGCCTCAGCAAGAGGATGCGAACAAATAGCAACAAGAGTTCCAAAATTACGGTAAACAAAAACAGTTCAAATAAAGTCAGTACAGTACAATTATCAACAGGTGAGTTTTCAAGCAGCCACTAATTGGCAGAATTGCACGTTATTTTTCCGTTACTTTTCTTCTATTTTAGTTTCATTCCACTCACTAACTGCACACTTCTCTTCTCTTCTCTCGGCTCTGTTCTGTTCAGTTTGGTAGTTCACTTCTCTCCAAGTCCTTGAGCTTTTTGTCGATGTGGCGGATGTTGTCCCTCAGTATGGCCCACTCATAGGGGTGGATGCGCAGGCCATTCTTGGTTGATGGCGTCAACATTCCATTCTTACAGAAGTAATTCCGGATGTCCACATGATAAAGGCCCTTGAACCACTTCACCGTTAGAAACCTCTTCTTACTTAATATCAGTCGTCTCTCCTCATTCCACACAGAAGCAGAGGAACCAGCAGAGGGCGAGTTCTGCTTCTTCGCTTTGGGGGTGGAGGGCAGGGCTTGGTGAAAGTCAATTGGTGACCAATTAATTGCAATTAATTGGATGCAATTAATTGACTTCTTTGTTTTTCCAATTTTTGACTATTGACAAAATCCGCCAATTAATTGCAATTAATTGAAGGTTTGCAAACTTTGAAATTTATATGATTTTGTCTTTGAAATGTAACGCTATTACTGACTTCGTAAAAAGAAAAAGTGAACAAAGAAATCAGCTGACAGTGTTTATCAAGATTTACGATAATACGACAGAGTATTTTGCCGATGAACCTTGAAATGCAGCTGTTCCTGAATGTTAACAATCAATTTTGGTCGAAAACTGACGTTGCTAAAGCTATGAATGAGACCCAATTAATTGCAATTAATTGATAATTGACAAAACTTGAGCAAACAATTCAATTAATTGACAACCTTTTCAACTAATTGACTTTTTGTCTACCAATTGACTTTTACCAACTTCTGATGGGGGCTTCGTACCTGCTACCTCGAGAATTGGAGTCTAACACTCTGCGCTCTCGGACACCAACGCTTAACAACCGGCAAACACTAGTCACAAATAAAGCAGCTACATGTGCTAACAAATAGCTAATGCGAATTATCTTTAAGTGGCTCCAAATACAAATAGACACAATTTAACAAGTAATAGTTTGGTATATAACAAACTGAAGGCATCCACACTAACTTTGCATGTAACAAATTGCAAAGCACCCAGCCATATTATGTATAAACTATGCATTTCAAAAAATGCAAGATATAATGAGTTAGAAAATTTTTGAAACCACATTTCTATCATTGATGTTGTTTGAAACGATTAGCTTTTTTCGGTTCATTGGATTATTTCAAAGTGCATCAACTGTGTTATTTTATCACCATTCGAATGTGAAAGCACATTGCTCCTAACGCTCACACAATTACTTCCCGGCTTTAATCCTTTCATTTTGCATAAATTTGTGTTACGTCAATGTCACGGAACAATTATGCTAGCTTTGCGCATGGAAGTGCCATGTCGGCTGGTTTATGATGTGGCACCAAAAGTTGCGACCTGGGCCAGAAAAAAATGTTGTATGACAGTATATCACTACGTTGCACATATTTAATGATCTGCATTGTTGATGGTCGTCAACTACTCGCGCCGTGCCTAAATTATTTTAAATTTACTCCGATAACTTAATTGTCTCTTGAATCTGATGTGTGTGATTTACATATGAATTTGATTCATCCAGATTAAGTTGGAAAGTGAAACTCTGAAATTGACAATATTGACAGACATGCACCATATGATAACAACTAAATTCCAAAAAGTCCAGCCGGAAAAAATGCGAAACAGCCCCCTGAAATGACAAACTGATACCCTAGAAGGGATAACCCGAACTGAACGGCCACAGATAGGGCGAACAGAACCAAAGCGAAGAAACAACCTGAACTAAGCAATAGTCCCACAGAATGGACACAAGGTACCAACCACCACAAAGCGGAATCCTGATCAACAGTAATGCAAAGTAATGGTTTCAAACCATTACTTAACTGACAATCAGTCACAGGTATGTGGAAACTTATACACAGCTGTACAGCCCTTGTGCAGAGCTCACGACTAAGGGTTCTGGCAGTCCACGAAAGCCTTAACCGCAGGTGGTCCAATTGCAACGCAGAACATCACAGCGAATAATACCAGTGATTACTCAGCATCATTACCAAAACTTAAAGACTAGGAATCCTCAAACGGAGCCCTAGAAAGAGGATCCTAGAACGAGAGCAACCAATCGTCGGCAGAATCGCGAGGCACCCCATCGTCGGCAGAATCTCAAGGCACCCTATCGTAGACAGAATCTGAAGGTACCCCGTCATCGGCAGAATCTCGAGGCACCCCATCATCGGCAGAATCTCGAGGTAACTCATCGTCGGCAAAGTCTAGAGGTACACATCCTAGCCAAAATCCCCAGGCTAAGACAAAATTTAACGTCAGTTTCAATAATCAGGCACTAATCACTTGAAACGTGTCTTAACCAAATTTATGCTGTAATTTAAACACTCATTTTTTGCACTCTTAAAACGTATAGATGTACTAAAACCTTCGTGCTAATGATCGAGTTAAAAATTAATAAAACTTTGCAACCTCAGACATGAACTGTGTACTCTCATTTTGTTAATTTAGTAATTGTTAATCCTCGGGGTACCAGATAGTGTTTTACGTTTAGTTTTCCATAAAAAAATTGAGCACCAAAATTGTTGGCACTCAAAATTTTTTTAGCCCAAAAATTGTTGCCCTAGTTTTTCAAAAGCCCATTTTTATCCTTAGCACTTTCTTAAACCCAAAATTCAAAGAATTTAATGCTAATATTTCAACCAAAAATTGCTTATCGGAAATTTAAAAATCTTTAAATTTCAGTTCAAAGCTGAATTCCCAAAAGTTTTCAGCTCAATAAGATTCCAAAAAACTAACAAACGTTTCACAGCTTTGTCATTAGCTATAACTTACCGTTTCTTTTACTAAATGAGCTCTAGCTCAACATTAAACAATTAATTTCCAAGATAACGCTACTAAGAAACGTACAACTATATAATTTCAGTAAACCATTGGAGAGCTCGATAAACTTAAAAGAAATCGGAAAAAGATAGCGATCGCTGCCATCTGAGCAAGTAAAATCTTCTCAAATCTCAAAGATAACTGTTATACTGAAACGCTATTTGTTTGACTACTTTTACCATGTCGATGATCATCATGGATTGTAATTTAGCACAGAGTTATAAGCATGTGCTGTAAAAAAAAAACTGAAATTCTAATCATTTTCCATTCAAGCATGGTATGCTTTTCGGATTGGTAGTTAAATAGCTCACCAAGTCCGCCACTTGATCCGTCAGCATTTCACCCGAGTAGCTGCAAATGAAAGCACCCTTAGGAATATGGTCTCTACATCTGACTCCGAATCCCTTCAGCTGGGTTTTGAACAGTTCCAAGCGGTGTCTGACGCCCAGTTGCACAACTCTATTGTGGCACAGATCCTTCCGACCATCAGCTGCACAAGCGCAATTCATGTTGCACTCATAGACACTGTAAGCAAACAAAATGGAAGTGTTGCACTCTGCAATATCCTATTATTTAACTGATGAAATGAAGTGTAAGCGTAAAATTTTTTACAGCGCAAAAAAGATGATTTTATATTCAAAAAGTTTAGAAGAATCGAAAAGGAAAACTTTAGAGAAAAATCCTGAAAAAACACGTTGAGAAACAGTGTTATTAGTAAATCATATGTCGTGAGCTTCAATTTAGATTAAGGCTTAAAGTAAAATTAAATCTTTTAAACACTCAAGAAAGTCTTATTTGTCTGACCCGAAGTAGTGTGGCGCGGACAATCTGCGCTGTTCGTATCCTGCAGTATCTTCTTCTGGGAAGTCCCTGTCGCCTTTAGAAGCCTCTACTGTCAGCTGACAACAAGCACACTTTGCCACGTCTACGCAGTTGTCAGTACAGTCACAGCACACGAGGAATTCCGGGTCATTGTTTATCATGGCCCTGTAAAAAGTTGGCTAAATTCAACTCCCTTTTGTTCCCCTAAATTTGCGCACAGAAAGGCATAATATTTAAGAGAAATCCCAAGATTTTATACTACTTCCGATTTTATCATCTAAACTTTAAAAACCAACCTTTGAAAAAGAAACGATAATACAGAATTTAACAAATATATTGTTAAAGTAGCCTCGTTTGTACAACTGAAACGCATTTTACAGTTATTTGAGAAACCATTGAGACACTATTCAGAAGAGCGATTATTAAACAACTAATTTTACCACTAATTTGAGCGACTATCAAATGTGTAATAACTCACCCAACATCTGCGCTCCAAAGATTTTCCAGAATATACTTGTCGAAAATGGGCACGGTACATGAACTGCGTTTTTCAATGTCATTAACCGCTCTTATCGGAAGCGTTTCCACTCCATCCGAAACATCATCTGACACTACGGTACACTTCAACAGGTCAGTAGACTCGAAAAGATCATACAGCTCGGGGTCAAATGAAAAGCAATCAATTGGTAACTTCATTTCAGTCTGACTCAAATACATTCCAATCTCTTCAGGGTTTCGTAGCATAAGACCACAGGGTGTTTTATAGGTTACTTTTTCACTTTCCCAGCAGGCATACGGATCGAACTTCAAAACTTCTTCGTCAAAGAATTCAGCTTCACATAGAATTATTCTCTGAAAGCCATTTCTGATAGGTACGAGCAGCAAAGATTCCGAAGTATTGGAGAAAATTTTATCGAACTTGGAGATGCAACTAGGCGAACACACTAAGTGTTTTTCAAATAAATTCTCCTCAAATGGAAGAAGTGAATTGTAGACAAGTGCTCTTGCTTGAACCAGGGTCAGCTGGTTGTTATTTAAATCACTCGCTTCAGTTCCGGATGTTACTTCAACAAGAGTTTTACATTCTGTTCCAGAAGCTAACTCAACCAGAGTTCTGCACTCTGAAGTATCGTCGGCTGATTTCTGCTTCGACTTGGTAAACACTGTGCTACATACACTATACGTTCGTTCGCTAGCAGCGTCTGGTGTCAGCGTCGATACCACGTGTGTGTATTCGGACTCTTGGCCACCTTTGAAGAGCAAAAACTGATCCAGCGAATCGTCTAGAAGTCTTCTACCGAAGTTCCCATTGTGTTGATCAGTTGAGTTAGAGAAAGAATCCGTAGTGACATTTTGGAATCCTACAGGTTTGTTATTTTGAACTTGAATGTTATCATTCGACGATACACCAAATCTGTCGGATCTTGGTCTTGAGTAATCACTAATAGCCATAGATATTCCATTTCCAAATTGCCAGCGGCGGCTTGAAAAGTCAGGTACATTGAAGTAACCATTATTGTAACTGTTGTTGTTACTTGCTAGATGTCGATTTGAGAACATATTCAGTGGAACAAAAGGGAGTTGCAAGTTGTTTACGCCAGGTATGATACTGATTGGAGGAGGCCTGCTCCTCATGATGCGATTGATCTTCTCTTGGACAATTTTTATGCAAAGAGACCCGTTGAAGATCCACTCTGTGCTCATATCAAGGGAGTTCATGTACATGACTTTGATTAGACTGCAATCGACGGCTTTGATCATAGCAGTGTACCTATAGATAAACATTTAGCTCAAACGAAATCCGCAATCATTTAGCAGCCTCCCTATAATAACTAAATAACTTGTGTTAACATGTCATGGCTAGTAAAATGCTTTGGTTTTTCATTCTCAAAGTACGTAAAATTACCTGAAACTATCAATCGAAAAAGAACCAGTTTATTTGCGATTTTAAAATTTATGGCCATGCTTTAGTGTATTCACTCAAATCATTTGAAGTCTGACAGGTACGAAGCAGAGAATAAGTATTGTTACCAAAAAGACTGATCCATGATGACAATTGCGAATTATCAGTTCATGAGAGATTAAAATGACCAGACTGTGGCCTCTACTTACGAGCAGTTGTCTTTCACAATTTCCAGCATGGAGTCACACCTAGTCTGGTTCTCATGCAGACGTACTCTATCCGGCCAAAAGTGGAAGAAAGTTTTGAGGAAATGCCTTCCCTCTTCACTTTTGCACTCAGACCACACTTGGTGCATCGGTTTTTGCTCTGCGAATAAATGGAAGAGACATCCGTCTGCAACGTAGGCGGCTTCTCCGTTATCCAGGTAAACAAGAAATCTAGAACCACTTTCGAACTTTATTCTTCGATCATCGCCAAAGAGTGCCCGGTTTGACACAATGTGCAACCATACGTCGAATCATGCATGGTCCCATAAAAGCCATAGCGACTTAATTTTATGTAAGCACAAGACATACATCCAAATCCATACAAATATTATATGGATGTATGATTCAGCATTATCCTCTATGGTGGGTAGCGCAGGTGCTTTAGCAAACCTAAGACAGAAGGAGTAAAAAGATAACAAAGCTTGGCTTAAGTATAAAGAGAGTGACAAAATCTATCTGATCAGTTTTCAAAAAACAGTCCAAAATTAACCAACCACAGTCACCAGTAGCACATAACAAATCTTTCAACCAAACTAATTCATACAAAGAAAAGTTCGAAATGAAAAAAAATAGACAGAGGCGAAGCTGGAAAGACAGTTGGCCAAGTGCCAATGAAATAAAAAAAAACGGAAAAAATGATTGAATTTTTGAAAGAGAAACCGGAGAAGAATTCATTGACATTTTCTAACTACGGTCTGCCCAGCTTCGCCTCTGTCGTTTTGAGTTTTTATTTTATATATTTTTCCTTTGCATGATTAATTTAGTTGAAAAAATATGTGCTACTGATGACTGATTGTTTAATTTTGGACAGTTTGTTTGTAATTTGATCAGATAAACTTTGCCACTCGGTTCACACTCCAGCCAAACTTTGGCATCTCTTGACTCCAACTGTACAACGTTTGATGTCCTACGGGCATTTTGTGAGGTACTGAATGTTCTGAATGTTCTGAAATTCTCAAAAAATCCAACTTTGAAAGATGAAACTTTGACAAGAACCTTTAACATAAATTTTAATCTTAAACCTCCCTAGCGAAAAGTGCTTGCCTCATATCTAGTTTAACTGATGTCTCAGCCGGATCAACTCGCACTAATTGGAATTGGAGCGAGCAGAATTTATTACAAGTTGATTATTTTCAAGCCTCCGTAACTCGACAGAAAATTATCACAGAAAAGGTAAAATATGATTTAGAGTTTAAAATCAAGGCATTAATCTTTGAGATGACAAAAAATTTCGCCAGAAAATATTAATTTAGAAAGTCAAATATGTTTGAATAGAAAAGAAATTCACAAAGCGCAAACATTCTGTCACTTTCTTCAATCGGAAATTGGATCAAAAACGCTGAAACACGAAAAAACGTGTATAAAAACTCATCAACAGCTAAATTTTGTAGGCCAAGCTCATCATCAATAGATTTTGATAGCTAAAAACAGGGGTTTCCTCATAGTAGTAGAATGGAATCACAAAGTTAAACAAAGAGGCGAAGCTTCACTTCGCAAACACTAGCGAAAATACGACAAAAAGTATTTCTAGAATGTGCAATAAGAAAAAATAAAAATGAGCCTCGAATTGGCAAAACTCGGCTAGGTCTAAAATTCGATCTGCGACCTACTGCAATCAAGAGCTTTGAGTCTCACGCAACAACCACTCAGCCACGCACGCGTAACCACCAACAAACACTAGTCACGAATAGAAACAGCTACATGTGCAAATAAACTGCCAATGCCATTCAGCAAAAGTGGCACCAAGTACAATTAGACACAATTTTGTAAAAAAAATGAATATAGCAAACTGAAGGCATTCACAGTAACTTTGCATGTAACAAATCGCAAAGCATAAAGCCACATTATGTATAAATTACGCATTTCAAAAAATTGCCAGAAATATTTAGTTGGAAAGTTTTTGAAATCGAGTTTTTATGGTTGTTATGTTGTTTGAAACAATTAACTTTTTTTCGGTTCATTTGATGAATTAAAAATGCATTATTTGTGTTAAGATTCAGAGTTAGAGCAAGTAGGACTAGGGGATAGAGGTTTGAGAGTTATCTGAGGTTTCAACTGAGGAGAGAGAAGAGATACTGATTGTTGAAGAATGAATTGAGATTGTGTTTATAAAATGACACGACAAACTGAGCATCAAATAGTACCAGTTAATTAATTACCAGTTAATTAATTAGTTTATCAAATACCAGCAGACCAGTTGACCTTGTCTGAGTGCATTGAGTTTTATACCAGTTGACCTTTAATTAGGTTTCTATTGCTCAAGTCTGACCTTGAGTTTGGTCTGGTATTTCACCAGTCTGGCATTGAGCTCGTCTGTCCTCAACACCCCCACTCAGGCTGAATTGGCTTTGTCCAATGTCAGGCTGCAACCCATCAGCGTTCGACGATGTTGATCCACCTTTGCCTTGCTCAGGGATTTCGTCAACAAGTCAGCCTCCATGTTTTCGGTTGGACAGTACTCGAGCGCAAATGTTCCATCCTCGACCCGCTCTCGGACAAAGTGATACTTGACATCAATGTGCTTTGTACGCTTCTGCATTACGGGATTTTTGCACATCTTGATGCAGCTCTGGTTGTCCTCGTTGATCACAGTTGGACCATCACACGTCATATCCATCTCATTGAGTAGGGATCGTAAGTAGAGGCCTTCCTGAACAGCCGCTGCCATTGCTTGATACTCAGCTTCGCTGGTAGATATTGCTGCAGTAGGTTGCTTCTTGGTACTCCAGCTGATTGCTGCTCCTGACCGCTGCACATGAAAACTGTAGCCTGTTGTTGACCTTCTGTCATCAACGTCACCAGCCCAGTCAGCATCTGCTGAACCATAAAGGTTGAACCCATCAGGATCTTTGATGTAGCACAGCTCCAGATCTTTGGTTCCTTTCAGGTATCGCAGAACTCTCTTAGCAGCCACCCAGTGTGTTCTCCCAGGATTCTCCAGAAACCGTGAAAGTTGAGTCACAGTAGCTAGGATGTCTGGCCTCGTTTGCTTGGCTATGTACAATAACGAGCCCACTATGCCTCTGTAGTCCTCACGCTGCATTGCCACTGCTTTTTCTGAGCCCGCTCCAGGGCAGTCCTTCTTCGTCAACTGAGTGCTGATATCAGCTGGTGTCCCTACTGGTTTGCAGTCAGCCAACCCAAAGCGCTCCAAGCAGTCTTCAATGTAGCGAGACTGATTCACAGTGACAGAACCAGGTGCCCGTTTGACCTGCATTTTCAAAAACCAGGCTAATGGACCGCGATCATCCATCTTGAATCGGTCAGTGAATCGGTCCCTCACCCTGTCAACTTCTGCTTGCAGTTTGCAGCCAATGATGATATCATCCACCCATACTAGAACATAGATCATAGCATCATCCATTCCCCTCATCGTGAACAAACAGAAGTCATTGGTGCTTCGAGTGAAACCAGTCTCCAGAAGAAACGTGCTCAGCGTCTGGTACCAGTCCCTTCCTGCCTGCTTCAGCCCATAGATACTGCGTTGTAGCAAACACACTTGGTTGTCCCCGCTGCTGAACCCCTCGGGCTGTTCCATATACACAGTTTCTGTTAACGGCGAGTTGAGGAAGGCTGACTTCACGTCCATCTGATGAAGTACAAGATCATCTTGCGCTCCCAAAGCCAGTAGTATTCTCTTTGTTTCTGGTTTACAGGTTGGCGCAAAGGTCTCATTGAAGTCCAGTCCTTCCACTTGCATAAAACCCTTCACCACGTATCTGGCTTTAAACCGCTCCACTTGTCCCATTGCATCTCTCTTCACAGCAAGCACCCAGCGTCCAGGAATGACCTTGCGAGAATTTGGTCTATCAACAAGTGTCCAGGTGCCCATTGCCTTCAGTGACTGCACCTCCAAAGCCATAGCTGCTAGCCACTGCTCCCTTTCTGGTCCAGATACTGCTTCCAAGTAGCTTCTTGGCTCTTGTGCTATCACTGAAGCATGAGTGTAAGCCAGTCCGTATCGGATGGGAGGGTTCCGCGTTCTAGTTGACCGCTGCTCTGGAATCTCTGTTGGCCTCTGCTCTGGAGGCTCTGTGGAAGGTGGTTCCAATTCTTCAGTCTCGACTGGGTCATCTTCCGTAACCCCCACTGAAGCTGCTGCTCCACTATCATTCGCTTTATTGGTAGACTCAGTGATGGTCTTCGTGCTAGTTTCCTCTACATCAAGGCATCCCTCGATTGATAGACCCAGTGTTTGTGACTGCTCACTGTCTACCAGAAAGTCGTCTGGAATGATGTCTTCATTGAACGTCACGCTTCTTGCTCGTACCACTCGCTTTGTCTCCAGGTCCATCAGCAAGTAGGCTTTGCTCTCCTCGTCATAACCAATGAACTTGCTCTTCTTGCCTTTCGGATCCAGTTTCCGCCGGTTTCCTCTGTCCAGGTAGTACGCCAGGCATCCGAACACTCGCAGGTAGTTGACTTTCGATGGCTTCCCATAATGCATCTCCATTGATGAAATGCGATGCTCATTGCTGGATGTAGGACACAAGTTGCGAACCCTGACTGCCGTTGACATTGCTCGTACCCAGAACATCTTTGAGAGCTTTGCATCGGCCAGTAGACATCGAGTCATCTCAGTTATCACCCTGTTGTACCTCTCTGCCACGCCATTCTGTTGCGGAGTATTAGGTACTGTAAACTCCTGTTTCACCTGCATTTCTCTACAGAACATCCGAAAAGCATTCGACGAATACTCACCTCCGTTGTCAGTTCTCAAGCACTTCGGTGTTCCGTGCTCAGCTACAAAGTCTTTGAACTTCGAAAGAGTATCGCTCTTCTTAACCAGGTACTTGACCACTGCCAGACGGCTGAAGTCATCAATGAAGCTCACGGCATAGCGCGCTCCATGCATGCTCGCAACTTCAAATGGTCCCTGGATGTCGCTGAAGACCCGCTGCCCCACTGCAGTTGCCCTGTTCTCTGTCTTCTTTGGCATTGCTACTTCGTGCATCTTCGAAGCTGTGCACACTTCGCAGAACCCTAGCTCGCCGACATCAACAACTGATATTAGATCATGCTTGTTGAGATGCCCCAGCCTTCGGTGCCACAGCATTGCACTACTTGTCTCCATCTTCGCTTTCGTAGCTAGAGTCATCGCGTTCCTCTTGAACTTGCACTCCAGGAAGAAAAGCTTGCCGCGCTGCTTCACTGGTAGCCGTCGACCATCCGGTGCCACAAGATGAGAAGAGTCTGATGTAAAGCTGAAACTAGACCCTCTAGCTATTGCTGAGCTCACACTCATCAGATTCACGTTGTAGCTCGGCACAAACAGCACATTGTGGAAAGTGTAGCTCCTCGTCACATCTTGACAGTCTCGTATGTCCACTTCCACCGAGCCTATGCCCTCAATCTTTGATATTGTACCGTTCGGATTCTCAACTGTTGTCCCCTCATCCCATTTCTCAAAGCTTGAGAAGACAGCCTTGTCGCGCACTACATGATCGGTGCATCCCGTATCCACAATGAGATCATCTCCCTTCATTGAGGTTGTTGCACAACAACTGAAGAACCCTGTCTTTGCCTGCTTGCAGTCCCTTGCAAAGTGTCCTTGTTGTCCACACTTGAAGCACCCTTGCTTCCTTGAAGTTGGACCACTTGCTTCATTCGAGCCACTGCCTCGAGCACCAGATTGACCACTGTCACTTCTGGATCTGCAATCTCTTGCCAAATGACCCTTCTGACCGCACACAAAACAGCCACCACCCGACGCTCCTTTCTTCTTCCTCACAGCTTGCATAGCTATGTGTCCATTCCCAGTCTTCTCTCCACATCGAGCTCGTCTCGAGTCATCATAGTTCCTCAACCTCGTTCTCAGCTCTGTAAAAGTCTTGGCCGGCTGGAAGCTCTCCTGCACCACGAAATGCTCAAAGCTGTCAGGCAGTCCGTTGATCACGAGCGCATTGAAGAGTGTGTCCGTAATTGCTTCCCCAGCTTCACTCAGCCGCGTCATCAGCTCTTGACTTCGAACGAAGTAGTCATCGAGATCCTCCTCTGATCCTAGGCGCAGCTTCGCAAGCTGGCCTACTAGACTGACCACTGTAGGCCTCTCCACACTGCAAAACTTCTCTTGCAGCAGTCTCCAGGCCTTCGTCCCATCGCCATAGCCATCCGCAGCCACGCAGTCGTTCTTGATGTACATCAGTGTGGTGTTGTTCAGGACCAGAGCTAGATGTGACCACACTGTGTTTCGGTTGTCTTTCTTCTGCTGGATCAGCACAGCTCGCTCCTGCATCTTGGTGTTGTACGCCGTCATCTGGTCAGCATTCGGATTCTCAGGTAGCGTAGGTTCAGCTTCTGGTAGATCGTCATTGCCCATCACAGTCCTGAACAGGCCTTTGGTATGCATCAGTGCCACAAACTTCGTCGACCAAGCTGGAAAATCTTCAGACTTTCCACTGAATCCAGCCAGTTTCAAGTCCATCTCTGCTTTGCTAAAGGCTAGATAAAAGCTAAAAAAAACTCTGACAGAAATCAAATAATTATTAAATCAAAAAGTTTAGAAATCTGGGCCCATAACCTGTTAAGATTCAGAGTTAGAGCAAGTAGGACTAGGGGATAGAGGTTTGAGAGTTATCTGAGGTTTCAACTGAGGAGAGAGAAGAGATACTGATTGTTGAAGAATGAATTGAGATTGTGTTTATAAAATGACACGACAAACTGAGCATCAAATAGTACCAGTTAATTAATTACCAGTTAATTAATTAGTTTATCAAATACCAGCAGACCAGTTGACCTTGTCTGAGTGCATTGAGTTTTATACCAGTTGACCTTTAATTAGGTTTCTATTGCTCAAGTCTGACCTTGAGTTTGGTCTGGTATTTCACCAGTCTGGCATTGAGCTCGTCTGTCCTCAACAATTTGCGTCGATTTATTACTATTCGAACGCCAAAGCACATGCTATCAAAAAGCTGTAAAGGTGCCCAAAAAGTGTCATCAATATTTGCAACTTAGATTAGAAAAAAAAAGAAGTTTCTTAATAATACGCTAAGCTGACGCTATTGTAATTAGCCAATCAGAATTCCGTATTCAAAAATTTGAAAGAAAATATGAACCGTTTGGGAACGTAGAAACATTTCGAACTGTTGAAAATTATTTCTGTTATGCCAGTAACCCCCGAAAAACATCCACAATCTTTTTACTACTACACAACCATCTATTTACCTTTCCCTTGTGTATTCAGAGGGCAGTTCCATTATAACGCCAGTTGACAATTCACTCCGAGAAGAAGTCGACAAATCACTGGCAGGTCCTTCATCCGCTCTTCTGTCTACTTTAGCTAGACCTCTGAAGCCCACTCTGAATGAGTCACGGTCACAGCTGCAGTTTAGAGCCACTTGGGAGGAGACTACAGTTCCCTTTTCAAAAGGGGGCATCCGCAATGTCACCTCGTAGCGACACTAAAAATAAAATTCTAATAAACAAAGGCGAAGCTGTACTTTCCAAACACAAGCAAAAAATGACAAGATGGAGCTTTAAAATTGCAAGAAAATGCAAAAAGAATTTAATCAGCTTTGAAAAATAAAGCCACCATACACCAGCCGCCAATAAAGCGGATGAAACAGATGCGGATAAAACAAATAACAAATGCAGTACACGGAAAATGAAATAGAGCACTTCTGCTGAGACGATTTATGCGAAGTCAGTTGAAAAAATGTGGACTCGTTATGCGTAAACAGGCAAACTAAGGAACAAATGTGAATGTTGAGTCCCTAAAATGTAGATGATTCCCTGAAGAAAATGTCTGTTTCCGAATATGCTCACCCATACGCCCCCGAGGTTCGCCGTAGACCATCATCAAACTTCCTGGATAATTTTGGCAACAAATATGGATGTCAAAAACAATTTGGACATATTTTAGTTCTGCCCCTACCCCATCCGAATGAATACTCGAACTTTGAAATCATTCAACTTTTATTACTTAGTGACGTACAGTGCTGATTTAAATTAACCGGACAAAACGTGTTAAACTTGAAATTTAAAACGCGTTTTTCTCAAATTGGGTTGAGTTTAGGAGAAAAATTATGAGGACAAAACTTACTTAAAATTTTAGCAGAATTATTATGGTGTAATTTTTTTTGCGAAATTCGGGCCCAAAATTTTACCCCAAAAATGAGTCATTTTGGCTTTTCTTAGTTAATTAAAAATTACGCCAAAAGTACCCATTCGATCACAGCCATAATTATATCAAAGTGAGCCCCTTACGTAGCCCAATAAACTTTAAGAAGGGTATATTCTCCAAAACATTGTATAAATTAATTTATTTTTGCTTGATAGACAAAAAAGGTCGTTTTTACTATATAAAATACCAATTTTTTATTTAAAAACAATTTTTAAACGGTTTGCAATTTTTTTTGGAGAATATACCCTTCTTAAAGTTTATTGGGCTACGTAAGGGGCTCACTTTGATATAATTATGGCTGTGATCGAATGGGTACTTTTGGCGTAATTTTTAATTAACTAAGAAAAGCCAAAATGACTCATTTTTGGGGTAAAATTTTGGGCCCGAATTTCGCAAAACAAATTACACCATAATAATTCTGCTAAAATTTTAAGCAAGTTTTGTCCTCATAATTTTTCTCCTAAACTCAACCCAATTTGAGAAAAACGCGTTTTAAATTTCAAGTTTAACACGTTTTGTCCGGTTAATTTAAATCAGCACTGTATAGCGGAAAAGATTGAAATATTGAGATCTGCCACCCTCTGGTCTTACTGGATCATTGTCTGGATCGAGAGGTGAGACAAGTGAGTTAAGCACAGCCCTTTCCCAACTGCTGCTTTTGTTGCGCCATGCAAACACACTGCTACCACTTCTTACCTCAATTCCCCTGAAACAATCTCCAAATTAAACTCATTACTCGTCAATTCATTCACTTATTTTACTTTGCTTTAACTTGCAGGGTTCTATGTCCGCCCCTTCTTGAACTCAGAGGTGTAGCAATTATCATAATCAATATTTCTGTTTCTGTTTTCGTTTTTGACTTCAAAAACGTTTAAGGTAGTTTTTTTACTCAGTTCAATTCATTTATTGCTCAGACCATTGAAACTGTCGGAATAATGTATTCGGGTGTGTTTTACTTTTTTTGTTTCCCCAAATGAGGATTTGGGGGAAGGGCAAGTGGAACTTCTGGACAGATTCAGGAGTCAAGCAAGCAAAACTTTTTCATTTTTTGACTTTTTCAAGATTTAACCTGGATGGAAACTTTCTAAAATTAAAAGATGCCAGCTAATACTAAAGTTTTTTCTTGAAACAAAAAACATCTTGAAGTTTAGCAAAAAAACCTAAATTTCAAGCAATTCACCTCGCATCCTATAAAAATCTAAAATTTTTTGATAATCGAATTTTTGAAAAGAAAAATTTCAATCAAATATTCTTCGACATTTACAAATAAAATTGAAACACCAAAATAAAAATAAATTTATATAATTGCCCGGTTTTTTCAACACTCTTTTTCTTGATTTCCAAAATTAGCTCTGATTAGTTCTTCACTCATTCTAATTACTAGATCTGATTTGCAAATTATTAATTGTATTACATTAACTTACTTATTCCACTAGCAAAACGTTTGGTCGGTATTCACTGATTCATTCATCTAAAAACATCACTTACCCAAATTTCTAAATACTTACCGAAAATAAATAAATACTGAAAAAAAAAATTCAATGCAATTATCTCTAGCCATAAACTATTAACATTTGAGGAATTTGACAAACTAATAGAAAAGCACTTCATAAAGTTTATGCAAATCTGTACGACCAGAAGGGGTACTACAGAATGTTTATCAGCATCATCGATCAATCTGAGGGAAGGGCAAGTGGAACTTCTGGATAGATTCAGGAGTCAAGCAAGCAAAACGCCAACAGCAGGAACCCAATTAAACACAAGTTTGAGTCTTTCAAATTTCCAGAGAATACAAAAATTGTTTGTGGGTTCTCGTATCACAGCTAGAATCAGAACAGACACTATACCCAAAGACAGGATAGTCCATTCATACATGGGCAGTAGCACAGAGGAAAACTAAGAGTGCTAAATAAATATCCGAGCTCGGAGCTAAAGGGCGTAACAACACAGGATGGCACTAATTCTTTTTTAAAAGGAAATTTGCAAATTGTAATGAGTTCTCGACAAAATTTGAGGAAGATAGAAATATTCAAGCCAAAATTTACACTGGAAACATGGCGTAATCTGGAAAATTTAGAGGCAAACAAAAATGAGGACTTGTATAATGAAAAAAATCAACTCTACGCGGCTTTATATCGGGTTATCAGGTGCTCAAACTAAATACAATGAGTTAGGACTGGAGTGTAACTCATAGAGTAATTTCGGATAGGGTACACCGTCTGCTCCTCACGCTATCTTATTTTCGGCCGGATAGATTCGTGCAACTTCTTAGTCTAATACCGATCCTAATCTTACTCTTATACTATCTAGTCTCAGGTTGTTTAACTAGTCTCTGCTAGGCTCAATAGATCTAGGGTATAATGGTTTATTGCGGCTGCTGAAGTGCTCGGGAGAGTCCAACTAATTTCTAAGTTAAATTCAAATCTCTCTGGTGCTGAAATTACAAGTAACTTCAGCACTTACAAATAAGTGGGTTGTTAGTTAGATGGATCATGATTGGTTAATATTAAATACTTTACATTGGTAAAACATTTAATTTATCCAATCATAAAATATAGTTTAGATCAGGTTCCACCCATCCGGGTTTTACAGAGTTTTTTAGAACAGTTCTTTTGTAGTTCAAGGATGGATGATGGACGTTGGTATTTGGCGAACATCATTTTTCTTTTGTTTCCTTTTTGTTAAGGAAGTTCCAGGGATCTGGAATTGAGGACACAAGACGTTGTGTTCTTCTTGTGACAACGACTGAGTCTCTGCAACAGCATCAATTCTGGTTTCAGAATGGTTGGCTATGTCAGGTTTTTCTGTTCTTCGGAGAGAACTTCTTTTGTGTTTGATCTAGCTCGGGAATGGCGTGGAGATTGTGCGTGGAGGGGATGCCTGGTTACTCGGATCTGTACGTATACTTGAACATCGAGGTGGTCATTGGTCTAGTTCAATGAAGTCCTTTTCTGCGAGGTCAAGTCGTACTCTAAATCCTTTGAGTTGTGATTGTGAGCGGCATATCGATTATAGTTGGTCATTCTCTCTCGAGTGTAGTGAGGTCGTCTTGTCTTTTGATGTTCGTCCTTGGTGTTGTATTCTGATCTATATATTGCATCATGTGATTTTACATTTTATAAAACTTTTATTAATTTAATATTTTTTAATTATGATTTTAGTTAGTTGTTTTCACAAAAGCTTTTTGTTTTAGTTCGGTTATTTTGAAGAGTTACTCACCCTTGAGTAGCTCTTATTAAAAATAAAGGTGTGGTCACAAAGCGTGGATGTAGCACGGTGGGTTAGGCCGGCTATAGAGCATGCTCAGGACGTCCTTTCCTGGTGGGTTAGGCCAGGTGTGGGAGTATGATTTCATGCGGTTTTTATGAGGGGTCCTGTTATGTGACAACATTTTATGTTGGGTTTGTTGTGGTTTTACTTATGTTTTGTTGGTTATGTACTTTTTCCAAAAAGCAAATTGTTTGTGGTATGGGTTTGTCTTTTGACTTTTTTGTGTTTTATTATTTCTTTCTAAGACTTTGTAATAGTCTTCAAAAGAATAAATTATCCAGTTTTAAACTGGGTTAATCCGGTTTGGGTACCGTTGGTTTCCTTTTCTTAGTCATGCTGTTATTTTATGATTTGTGGTATTTAGTAAGCTGCGTTGGTTAGTTTTGTTTAGTATATGATTCCTTTCCAACCGGGTTAAAGGAAAGTTTGAAACTTGTTATTATTTGTTAGAGTTGTTGAGTGTGAAAACTTGAAACTGAAATTCATTATTTTAAACAATTCTTCGTGGGCGAGCTGTGCGAGTGTGGATAGAATTTCTGTGCGAATGAATGAAAATATCAAAAGGTTAGTACTGCAATTGCATTTTATTAATTTACTGCATAGAATTTGGAAATTTACTGCTAGTAATGGGGGAATTTTAAGATACAAATTTTCATCATATGTAGATTTACTGCTTTTAGGGGAAAATTTTATAAATTAATTTACTGCATTGGTATTATATTTATTTAATTGTTGGTGCAAAAGTTAAATAGGGTTTTAAATAGTTTTGAAGAAGTTTGCTATTTTTTATTTTTCTTTTGTGAATTTTTCAGATGATTGAAGATGAAGGCTAAAAATCTAAAGAAAACATGAATAAAGAATGGTGAGTTTTTTAATATTTTAATTAGTTAGTTATATTCATTTAATTCATACTTACCTGTTAGTCGTCGGGGAAAAAACCGTGGGGGAAGATATCGTGAATTAGTTCTGAAGTTGTTAGTAGTTTAGCTAAGATGCGGATGATATTTTTAGTTTGAAGCAGTGGCCAAAGCAATTGAAGTGCCTTAATAGTGGTTAGTTCTTCAGTGCCTACTGCAAACTCATAAGGTGTGTTTTGGATTAAGTTATATAATTTGTGGTTAAATTTAGTGTTGTGGATGAATTCTAAAATGGGGATTTCTATAGGCTGTACAAACTCGTGCGGGATAAGGAAGGGTCGGGATTCTTCTGCGTTGAAGGTCTTGGTGATGGGGCAGAAAATATACATTTGGGTTATGGGGTCATAATTACGAAGAATACCATGAAGGTTAGTATTTTTAATACAATATGTGAAATTTAGGAAATACGGTGAAGTGTATTTTGAATTGATGAATTGAAAGCGATGGTGTGGTTGTCTAGAGGGTGTGTGGAGGTCAAAGTGATTTTGGATGAAACGATAGTAACTGTATGTATGTGTTTGTTTAGTTCGCAACATAATATCGTGTGAGCAGTGTAAATCTCTTTCGTGTGGTGCAAGGAAATGAAAGGTTAGTGAAAAGATTTGGAAGCGTTCTTTAAAACTTTCGTACGCTTGTGTGCTTGTTAGTGCTTCTGAAATAATGTGATCAAACTTTCGGTCGAAGATGTTTAGTGTAAATACATATGGTGTCTTGATGAAAAATTTCTCGGTGATTTGTGGGTTAGCGAAGCGATCGTCGTCTAAGAATTGATCTTGGTTAGCTCTGATGATGTTGTGATCATAGTATTCTAGTGTGTATTCGTTAGCTCTAGGTGCAGTGTGTATTTTTAGTGATTTTTTATATCCAACGTAAGTAAATTGTCTAGCGGTGAGTGGTGTAGTTAGTCGATATAGCATGTCTTTGTTTCGGTCTATATCAATGGATGTGTTAGTTAAAGGTAAGCAAAGAGGGTTAGTGAAATGATAGTATGAGGTCCAAGAGAGAGTGGGCATTAAAACGTATTCGTCTACAAAGTTGCGTGTTTCGTTAGCGTCATGAGGGGTGTTTAAGGTGTATTGTGGAAATGAGGGTAAAGTGATGGCTAAAAATTCTCTAGTGTTAGTATGTTGGGGGTGGTTGATGTATTCTCGGGCTGTTCCTGGTTTTGCTGGGAAAGGATGGTTGGGGAACTTTCTTTTAAAAGTGCGATAAGCTCTATTAGTGTTGAGTGAGGATTCAGTTGATGTGGATGATGGTGCTAATGATTCGGTATAATTTGAAGAGGGTGTAGGGGGATTGGATGAATTTGTAGTGGAGGAGATTTGGTTTATGGTCGGGGTGTTAAGGTGGTAGGGTTGTTGTTGGAGGGTAATAAAATTGTCTAGCTCTGGGGAGATTCGGGGGGTGTCTGGAGATGATTGGTCAGAATGGTATGAGGAGTAGGTTGGGGTAACTTGGGAAGCATAAGAGGGTGTAGGAGTGATTGGGTCAGGGTTATTTGATAATATGGGTTGAAAAG